GGGGCTCTGGTTCTTGTTAGGGCCCACAGGGTCTCCAGGGAGATGAACAAAAACAGGAGGTGCTGGTAAGGCGGTGCTTCGGCTGCTGGAACCCCACTCCCTGGGCCTGGCCCCTGGGAAGCCAGCTGCAGCCACCTTGTCTGTGCCGAGTGGGGCCCAGGCGGGCCCAGCCTGTCTGGTGGACTCGCCGTCCACTTCAGCAACAGCTTACAGACCCCCGGTCCTTTGCCTCCATTCTTCACGTCAGGTAGTCTTTCGCTAAAGGGCTTTTTAATCACAAAGTTTGAAAAACAGAGTAGTGCACTTGCATTTTTTCCTCGTAATACTTGTGTCTCCTTATAAAATCTTACCAATGTTCACATACCTGGACTTGAACCTGCCTGTGCGTCCTTCTTACGCTGCTGTCACTGACTCACAAGCAGTCTCACTGTTGCCTTCACGAGTATTTGCTTAGCAGTCACGCCTTTGTGCTGAAGCCATGATTTTTCTAACTCTTCACCTCCTGGGGGGAAGTTGCTTGCTTTCTAGGTTGCCCTCTGATGTACTGAGGGAAACATCTTCCCCCACGTGGTCATTTCCTCTGGATCATTTTCTAAAATGGGATTTCTGGCGCTGCCCGTTGCTGGTCTCCGCGTTGCTCTACCTGGAAGTCCCAGTTCCAGCTTGCAGAGCCTCGCCAACCCTGAGATGTGCAGACCCACCTGTGTGGCCCGAATGTGGAGTGTCAGGTTGTCAGTTTACTGGACTGAGGCCTCACTCCTGGCTCCTGACTACCATCTCTGGCCTCTGCCCCTCCTGGGTAGCTTTCCCTGAGAGGCTTCTCCCATCCCCAGGTTCCCAGTCCCCGAGAGTGCAAAGGGAAGGATTGGTCACTATTCCTAGAAGGGCCCGGCTGCAGCTTTGGCACCCGAGGACAAGGTGGAACTTGGCTCTGTAGTCTGTGACACAGGTGGGGCTCTGCCAGCCTTTCCCCATCCTAGATAGTGCCAGGGTCTCAGCCGCAGAACTGTCAGCCCGCACAAAGGCTCACTAGGTAGACAAGTTGGCAGGCCATACCCACCTTAGCACTGGAGAGTCCCCAGGGATTCGTATGATAATAAAGCAAAATACTATTTTGATGTAATTTGCCATAGAAACAGCAGTCTGGAAGAATTCTCATTATCACAAAATGCCCAGAAGGCTAAGGTCACAGAGAAGGTTGAGGGAATCCCGAAGAACCAGGGAGAAGTAAACCACAGAGGGGGGAGTCCAATACCAAAGAAGAAACCCATGCTGCTTAGGGGAAAAGAAATGTCTGGAACTCCAGAGTCTGAGGGACTAACTGCCTCTGGGGGCAATGTGAGAACAGACTTTGAGCCTGGACAAGGGAGACACGAAGCCAACCAGAAGCCAACCCTTGGTCACTCGCGTCGGCCTGGGGAAAGGCAGTAGGGAGCCATCTGCCGTGGGAACTGGAAACATCTCTGACCACTTCACAGGAAAGGATCCCACCTAACCCTGTAATCTCAGGTCCACTTTGTTTGCACTGAGGTTCAGATTCACACTACTCTGGGCCAATAGTCTCTGGTTGAGAAATTAAGATACGTCTAGGTGTGTAGTACCTCCTTGTGTCTCACAGAACCAAAAAGGCAAATTTTCTGAAGGAAATATCCTTCAGGACCTTCAGGGTTACCTTGTATTATGAATCAACCAATTTTTTTTTTAAAGGTTTTTTTGCTATAGGGCATGTGTACTCACCAGAGAGACAGAAGGCAAGAAATCACCTCTGGGGGGATGGCCACATCACAATCCCTCCCCCTCCATTCTCCTCTCGGGATCTTGGGCGCATGCACACACACACACACACACACACACGCACCCAGCATGAGTTTTAAGCCACTGGGTCTGGGACTCGAACCACAGTCGACTACGTGGGAGTCCAGCAACCTAACCATTATGCCACCTGCTGGTCCCACGTGCCAACCAATTCTAAGCTGTCCAGAACCACCACTAAATAAATACCTAAGGAAAGGAACCAGGGCGAGCAAGCAGCAGCAGGAACAATAAGCAATTGATTAGACCTGTGGGCATTCAGGTGTTGCAATAATCAGGTGCAGTTGAAAGTAACCATGAAACCTGCAGGTGGTTCTGAATAAAGTGAATAAAAGCTAAGACTGAAAAGCAGATTTGAAGATAAATTCTAGGAATGCCAGTCATTGAAAAGTAGTACAGCTGGGGGGAGGGCCACACCACAACCCCTCCCCCTCCATTCTCCTCTCGGGATCTTGGGCGCATGCACACACACACACACACACACACGCACCCAGCATGAGTTTTAAGCCACTGGGTCTGGGACTCGAACCACAGTCGACTACGTGGGAGTCCAGCAACCTAACCATTATGCCACCTGCTGGTCCCACGTGCCAACCAATTCTAAGCTGTCCAGAACCACCACTAAATAAATACCTAAGGAAAGGAACCAGGGCGAGCAAGCAGCAGCAGGAACAATAAGCAATTGATTAGACCTGTGGGCATTCAGGTGTTGCAATAATCAGGTGCAGTTGAAAGTAACCATGAAACCTGCAGGTGGTTCTGAATAAAGTGAATAAAAGCTAAGACTGAAAAGCAGATTTGAAGATAAATTCTAGGAATGCCAGTCATTGAAAAGTAGTACAGTATTGGACAGCACATTAGAGGACTCAGAATCAGTGAGCCATTACCATATGCCTGCTCGTCAGAGATGAGAAAACCCGAGTCGTTTCTTCTGGAAAGTAGGTTGGAAGGAGAGAGCCCTTTAATACTTCACTAAGGATGAAGTCAAGGAGCCTGCCGGTCTGAGTTTCTCAGAAAGAAGGGAAATACTGACCTGAGGGGATGACATCCTCTCAGGATGAACAAACACGCATTTATCTAAACGTCTTGCCTGTCATCTGCACGTTTCTGACTGCTGGTGAATTAGGTGTAGCCCCTTGCATTCCCCAGCACGGTGAGGCGCCTACAGCAGACCCGGCTCCACGCCTTGAGACTAAATTGCCTGGTGCCGAGCGCCCCCTTGCGGACAGATGTGGACCTGCCGTCTCTGCCACCTCCATTTACCAGCCAGATTTGTCCTGGGCATGCTCCCAGCAACTTTTCCCTTTGCTGCCTTTCTGCCCCATGAGTTCAACGAGAACGTCCCCTGGGTACCTTCTAGAGAATTCTAGATATGATCAGGCTCCCTCCCCGCTAACCCCCCCATACCCTCCACCTTGCATACACTGGTCTTTTCCTTGCTACCCCATTATTTTGCAGGCCCTAGGGCTTGGCATTACTCCTTCCAGGATAGCTGCTGCTTCTCCTCCAGCGGGGCTGGAATCTACCCCTGGAGGATGCCTTGAGCGCTAGCCACGCTTGACGGCAACGATCTTACTGCCAGGGAGTAGGTGGATGTCTGTGCATGACCCATGGCAAGGCGCTTATTCTGTAAAAGGGACATGGCATGGCTGCAGAGTGATCACAGGGGTGTGTCTCCCTGCGCATGTGTGAGTTCCTTGAGGAGTCATCTTTGTCCCCAGCACCCACACGGAGCCTGGTGCCCTCACCCGATCTTCTGTTCGTTCTGGCCATCAGAGCTGCGTTAAGGGGACTTGGTGTGCTGTTTCTCTCAGAGCCGTGTGGCAGTGTCCGTCTAGACTGCTGCTGTGTCTCCAGCACCTGGCCTGGGGCTGTGCCAGTCCCCAGACAGGTCTGAATGTGTTCAGGTGAGTCACGGGCGCAGGTGTGAGGAGGGCGAGGAGGCAGGTGCAGGAGTAGATGAGGGCGAAGGTGGCGGCTGGCCCAGGTGCCTGGAGCGCTCCCGGCTTCAGCACTCTGCCTGTGCTTGACCTGGAAGCCTTCACCAGCAGGACGTTTCATCATCCCAGCACCTGCCACAGCAGGTGCCCGGTGGCTGTTGAAAGGAGCTGAAGAGCTACCAAAACTGGCATTCAGGGAAAGGTGTCCCAGCCTGCTACCGAGGTAGCATTTCTGTAGTAGACAGGGGTGCTTTGGGACAAAGGGCAAAGAGAGTGTGACCAGTGTGACACGGGGAGGGGGAGGTAATTGGGAGTGGAGGCTCTTTGCTAAGGGCTTTGAATACCAGGACACTCAAACGTGTTGCTGCAGACAGTGGGTGCCGTTGAAGGGTCTTTTTCAGAGGGGTATGATTTTCAAAATGGGGGCATTTTCAAAGACCCCTCTGACTGTGGCTTGACCTGGACTGGATAGGGGTAGATGAGGATGGAAGCCCGGGGGAGAAGCTGCAACAGTCTTCCAGGCCAGAGGGTACGTTGGCGCTGACTTGGCACAGTGCAGATGGCGAGATGGAGATGGGGTGGCTTGTGAGAGTAAACTCAGCGTAAAGGCTCGAGGGCCCCCATCCCCCACGTCACCAGAGCCCAGGTCTGGCTCAGACATTTGTTCTGGGGCTGCATGTCAGCCCCCACACCCATCCTCCTGGCTCCCCACGGTCCCTAGGTCAACAGGGCAGGCCCTCCCCGCTCAGCTCATGCGTCCTGGCCTCCACACCCCGGAGCAGGTCAGATGCCATCCTGTGCTCTTACAGTGCACCTGTCAGGTGTCCCTGGTAGTCACTTCCCTGTGACTTCCCCATCCCTTCCCCCAGGAGGGGCCCAGAGGGACTAACTGCCATTGTTTTCCTGGAACGGCGCTGTCCACTGGTGGGCAAATTCTACCTGGAACCAGATCTTTGCACCAGGAATCTCAGGCTGAGGCACCATGGGGGTGGGGGGCCAAGCCAGAACCCCAGCAGATTTCCGGAAGTTGAAAGAAGAGACCATGTCACTCCCTTTCCCAGGCAGGCCTGGAGCCCCTGAGCCGAGATCTGCCGCGGCTGTGAGGAAGTGGCCCCTCTGCCTGCCCAAGAGCTCCAGGAGGGAATTAGATTTCTAAGGAAGGTTTCCTGCCCTGCGTTTTGGTCTGGGAGGCACATGGCCCTGGGCCCTGGACTTGCTGAGGAAAAAAGAGGCAACGCCAGACTGACCACTGCCTTTATTGCCTCTGTGGCTGAGGACCCTGGCAGGGACTGGGAGGTCCCAGGGGAACAGGTGACTCTGGGCCCAAATTATTGCTACTTGGTAAGGACTCCTAGGGGTTTCCCACAGTGCCCTGAGGATGAGTGAGATGTGGCATGCAAATGATATGCAAATGACATGCAAACCATCCCAGGGTCCTCCAGGGGAGTCTGGTACAGCCATGGGTGCAAGTCTGAAGCCTGCTGGCCCAGGAAGATGATGGGAATGCCCAGGTCCTTACTCCACACTGCAGACTGATCTGGCTCAGCCTCAGGAGTCGAGGTTGGAGGGGTGAGGGGTCCCTGAGGATCAGCCCTACTTCTGCAGCTAGTTGGGGAAGAGCAGAAGCCTGGCCCCAAGAGAGGAGGAAGAAAGCAGGACACCCACTAGGCAGCCAGGTGGCCTGAGGCCCACCCAGAGAGGGAAGATATCTGCCTTGGGTCACACAGGCAGAGGAAGCGAGGACCAGAATCCAGGCCTCCTACGCCAGGAGTGCCTTGGAGACTGGAGCTACAAACCATAAAATACACTGATAAGTAGATAGGAAGCGAGCAGCCCAGTTCCTGATCCCTGGGCTGAGACCCTCCACCAGCCGGCCAGGGCCCAGGTCCCGAAGGAAGCAGGGTCCTTGGTCTGGGTGCCGAGTTATCCAGTCCAGGAGGCTCCAGGAGGAGGCAGGGCCCCGGAGCCCTCAGCTAGAGCAGGTCGGACTCAGTTATTATTCATAATCCACCAGGAGGCTGTGGGTCAGAGGTTGCAGTCAGGGGCGGGAAGGGACTCACTGCCCCTCCCTGCTCCCAGGGCTGTGGAGAGGCCTGGCAGCCGTGGCGCACCTGGGAAGAACACAGTGGTGAGGGTGTCCGGGGCCCGCAGGTGGTCGATGAGGATGCGCTGGAAGGCCTTACTGCAGGACGACTGCTGGTGCCTGGGGAGGGTCACGGAGGGGGCTGAGGTTGCAGCCAGCCCTTCAGGGATCTGGAATCCGCCCACTCTCATCCTTGTCCCACCTAGATTCAGATCCCAGGCCTTCCTCACACTGGCTCCCAACCTCAGTTTTCTCCTCTGTGAAATAGGGTCAGCGTCTGCTCTCGGGTACCGTGAGGACTGAATGGCATATTGTGCTGGCTGTTCATGTAGGTGTATTCATGAGTGCCTCCTGTGCGCCTGGAACCGTTTCACCCCCATTTTGGAAAGGAGGGCACTGAGGCTCAGACGGGAAAGGTAATCTAGGTCACACAGCCAGAGAGTGGGATCGCTGAACCCAGGCCTGACTGCCTCCAGGGCCTCTACTCCAGCTGCTGGACCATCACTCACCTCCTCCAGGAGGCCTCGTCCTGCCAGAATTCATACAAGGTGAATGAGGTGTTGTCCAGCATCCTCCGGGCAGACACACTGCGGGCCAAAGAGACAGCCAGGCCAAGCTGGGGCTGCCACCATTTCTGCCCACCCAGCCAAGAACCTTGGGAGCCAGCCCTGGCCTGGGATACCCAGCCCCGGCACCCCTCTGCTCACCCCCCACTCCACCTTGGCTGACCCATCAGCCAGCTGGGGACTCACTGCAGACAATTGGTCTGGGCCCCTGTGAAGTCCACATAGCAGCACAGGGCCCGGTGAAAGTCCTGCAAGGCTTCCTCTGCCACCTGGACCTGCCTCTGGGCCACGAGGATGTGCTGGGAGAGAGGCAGCCAGTCAGCCAGGGGAGGAGGGCACGGGAGAGGGAATGGCCGTGCTCTCCCGTAGGGCCCCACCTTCCTTATGCCTGACCCAGCACACCCTGGTGTCGGGTCCTGCCACCAATCTGCACCCCAGCCCACACCCAACTCCACCCTCTTCTCATGTCCAAGGATGCTGCACTGACCCAGCCATTGTCCCTCTCCCCGAGGCCACCCCTTCCTGCTGTCCCTCCAGCTTCTGTCCATGCTGCCCCAGATCTAGCCTTCAGAATGGCAGATGGCAGCATCGAGGCTCAGAGAGGGACAGTGATTTCTGCAGGGTCACAGAGGAAAACCCAGAGCCTAGCACCTGCCTGCCAGGTCTGGGGAGGAGGCAGGGGTGCACTGCAGAAGCAGGTGGGCAGCTGTCCTGTGACCTCGCTTCTCCAGCCCCTGCTATCCAGCTGTCTGCATCCTCCCAGGCTCACCGAGTCAGGCCCCTTGGCAACATCCTCTTCATGCAGGGGTTCCAGCCGGGGGGCCTGTGAGGGACACAGAGTGTGGGCCAGGCCCCCAGCGTGCCTGACTTGGTGGATGCCAGGAAGTCCCCTCGGGGGCCCTGGCCACATAGCTGCTCACCTTGCACTCAAGCTGGTCGATGAGCTCCTGGAGGCGGTTGACCTGAAGCCGCCACTGCTTCTCAGCCTCTGAGCTCTGCCCTGGAGGTGGGGCCCAGGGAGGGGTCAGGCATGCCTCCCCCAACCCCCTGAGCTGGGAGGCCACTCAGATGAACTGAGGGGCAATGGGGATGCCACATCGGTTCTGGGCCCCCCTCACCCAGGTTTCCCACCCAACACAGGCACACCTGTGTCAGTGGAGCCAGGCGACCAGCTGGGTGACCTACTGACAGTCCTCAGGGCCCTGCGCCCTGCCCGCCGGCTGCCACGGGGCCTGCTCTGTATTTCCGCACTCTCTTCATCTGACCTGGGGAAGTGGCAGGGGGTCAGCCCACTGCCCCTAGAGTCACAAGGCCAAGACTGGGGCCCCAGGACAGGACTAGGACAGGCCTTCTGGGCCCAAAGCCAGCCACCCTTCCTCACCCACTTGCAGCCTCCCTGCCCAGGAATGTGGGTTCCCAGATGCTGGACCCATGGACTGTGACGAAGCAGAGGCATTCCGAATATGGGGACACCAAGGCACCATGCTCACAGGCTGGTGGGGCCCTCATACCGTGCGCCGCGGGCCTGGGCCTCCAGGGCATCTGATGCCCCCTCCAGAGAGCTCTGTAGGGCTTGCAGCTGGCTCACCGTCTCCCGTAGCAGGAAGCGGGTCACAAACTGGTCCACCTTGGAGGCCTGTTCATACCCCTAGGAGGCAGAGGGAGTGGCTGGCATCTCCCAGTCCTGGACATACATTCCTAAATGGGAAGTCGTCTCCCTGGTCCCCAAGAGACTGGGGTCTCTTGCCTGTCAGAACAGCAGCCGTAGCATAAAGAGCAGGGCCACGCCAGATGGCCAGGAGAGCACTGAGACTCAGTAGGCAAGGAGAGCCTGGATCCCCCCTGATCTAGGTCTGGCCTCCCTTCCTGGGAGATGAGGGCAGCTCACAGGAAGGCACCCGTCAGCTGGCATGCCTGGCTTCTCTAGACCCCAAGGCCCCTTCCCTGTTGGGGCTCTACCTTCAACACTGCTAGAGCCAGTGAGGCCCCCAGGTGCAGCTATTCTTGGAGGGGCTGCAGGGTGGCTACAGGGTATCAAAGGAACAGTTTTGACACAGGAGGCAAAATGGTGATATAATGTAGCCCCCTACCCACCAGCTGGTCCCAGACTCACTGTTCACAAGTACATTGACTTACTCAGTCATTCATCACTGCGACTAACATTTACACTCACTGAGCTTTTTTTTTTTTTTTTTGAGAGGTTTTTGCTATAGGGCGCGTGTGCTCGCCAGACAGACAGAGACAGAGAGACAGAAAGCGAAAAATCACCCCCCAGAGGGGATGGTCAAGCCGCAATC